TTTCTTTCTTCCTTTCTCATACTCGAACTCAGAGGCTAAGCTGAAAGCTGCTACAAACATCTCTATTATCTCTAACCTCGCTTGGCTGAATGAGATCCAGATAATCCTAAAATCTGTTCACAGATCTGCAACCGGTTTTTGACCTGAATGCATTTATCATGTCATATCTACTCTGATTCTCTAACTAGATTTCAATCTGGCACGTATAAAAACAATCTTCATAGAAGCTTTTGGATTAAATTCAGTAGCGTTGGATAGAATTTGGAAAACAAATATAAACGTTTAGCTGTGGCTTGCCTTTGTTTACATTGATCGATCACTGAAAACAAAGTGAAATTTACACTCCACAGGGTAGAAAACATTGCAAGAAAAGCAGCTGAGAGCAAGAGAGTTTCCATACACAGAGACAGACTCTAATTTTACTTTTTCATGAAACCAGAGTTTTTGGCTCAGTGATGATAAAATAGTGTATAAATGATGCACCCCCTGTTTCCAAAAGTCCTAGCAGAGACTTTTCTTATAGGCACTCTTGAAACAAGTAAAATTGTTTTCGCTTATACAAATAGGACTAATTCAAGACTATGTGTTGGGGCTTGAAGCTTAAACCTCTCTGTGTCAAATGTATGCGTCAAATCTGAGTATCTAATCATCGCACTCTGAAAACTAGAAAATTTAGATTCTAATCTATACCTTTAGCCTCCAAAATTCTTCAAGTTTTGCTTCTTTTTAATTCTTCTTGCATATCCCTGAATGGCACACAAATGTCTCAGCTCGCTATGTCTGCTTTCATTATATGAATTTTTACACAGGCGTGCATTTATCAGAAAGAAAATTAGGAAAAGGGATTGTAACTTTAACATTAACACTGCCTCCTTCACCTCAGGAAATCTCAGCGGTGCAGCCTCCTCTCCTTTCCACCCTTACCACATGTTCAGACCAGGGCTGCAGTGGCTTTTACACTTCTCTTGTGATGTACACAACTACTTAGAGCCCAGCTGACCTTGTTGCAGTAGTCCATCTGTGAAACGTAGTAATAGAAATTCCCCAGATATGTTATAGAGATTTGATAATCAAATGGAAGACTCTTCTCATGGCTCCTTTGAAATTATCAAGATTTTCAATACTGACCTTAAAAAGAAAATAACTTACCCCAAATACACATCTGGTAGAACTCCAAAGAAATTACAAGAGCAATTAATATAATTCATTGTTCTTTATCTCTTTGAAGACATAACGTGCTATTTATATGATAATCAAGGTGTCATAATTTTAGGTCAGGATAGAAATGATTTTTTAAACAAGAAAGGAAAGGGGAGAGAGGAAAAGAGCACCCTGAGAACTGGATTCAACCAGAAAAGCAAAGAATAGATGAGGCCCATCTAGATATTAGTCGTGGTCTTGTTGCAAAGACTGGAGAGCGCTTTCTCAAATACAAAATATAATCATAACAATTTTTGCAAAAGATATATGACAGGCGGTGTCCTTGCCATGTTCAGGAAAGATAGTTTTGATTTGTATGTAAATTACTGCAATATCAAAGTAATGTTCAAATATTAAACAGGAACATCCTTTACTTACAGAACAGCGGGTGAACTGACTCGAAAATTTTCAATGAAATTGCGCATTGGTTGAGGTCTAAAGAGAGACTTAACCCATTCTTTGCCACTGGCAAATATTATTTGCTGAGAACTTTCCTTTTCCAAAAAGCTGCGTGTGAGCTGAGATGTTCACCCTTATGCTGCACCTCATGCCTCAGAGAAATGGCTGTGAACATCTCTGAAGTGTCTTCATAATCCTTCTTCAAACATCTTCCTAAAACTCCCTTTGTCAGAACGTCTATAAAAACACTGTGATAAAACTACTGAGCCTTGCCTATGCTCTGGTATGCCCCAGCTATTTGTCTGTAACCCTCTGTCATATCTGGGCTTATACTTCTGATTACCTGCTCCTTGAGATACTACTTGTTGTTCAATGCTCGTACAGTCTATAGGGCTATAGCTGTCTAAGGACTATTCTAATACAAAGAAGTAATAATGCATACTTTAAACCGTCCAATTGGTGTTAAAATAATGGCTACTATTACAGCAACAAAATGTGTAATACTTAGAAAATGGAGACATCATGTATCTGCTAGATACCTTCAAGCACAACATTAGCACTGTAAAGAACTAAACCTGGGCCAAAGCATGGAAAACTCACACACGTTTTGTGTCATCTGATATAATACTCTGGTTGTTATTTATACAGAAATTTGAAAAAAATTGTCCAAAGGATTCTATGGAATAGTATATAAGATTGGAGAGGATAGATAGGGCCTGAATTCCACTCTGTTTGTGGTCATTAGTCTCTACTCTCACTTTTATCCTTCAAACTGTACTGTCCGGCCATGCTGGCAGAAAGCTGAGCCTGGCAGCGCTGTTTACAGAATAAGCAGGCTGGGAGGGACCTGAAAATATCACCCTTACTGAACATTGTATTGTTTTCTGTGCATTAGTCAGAAAAGTCAAGGATCAGAGTTAGAGTTCAGACTTTGCCATCAACTATCATTCGATAATTTAGGTACAAATTATTTCCAAAAGAACTGCTGGAGTAGTTGAACAAAATATGTTGTAAAGGGTTTGTAATAAACAATGTATCAAGTCATCTACAGCCTTGAATTTTTGTTGCCTTTAAACAAGTTTTTCGTGAAAAATATTATTCTTTTAGGAGCAATTGCATCACCACTCTATTTCAAGTCTTCAAATCCTCAGAGACTATAAAGGAAAACTCTTCATTTTGCACGCTGCTTTCTTGACAGACATCAGCATTTATCAACTGTTACAATAACAGTTTTCAAAAACTGATGGACATTAGCAAAAAAATGTTGCTCATTTTTCACAAAGGGGGCAGATACTGCAAAACCCTGGGGACAGACTGTGATTTGGGCAATCTTGCAAGAAGCACCACCTGCTAGCTTTTACCAAAGCTGGATCTGAGTAAGTGGAGCTAAGGTCCCTGTTGCAGCTGGCTGGCAGAGTGCAATGTGGGAGGAACGGTTAGGAAATAGGTAGAAGTGCTTTGTTGAAAAACAGCTCCCTTGCTGTCCGTTGCACACTGATCCATGTACCTAGTGAGGGGGAAGGTAAAAAGTAGTTGACATTCAGGGCTACTTTGGGATCCTCTGCTGGTTGCCTCTACCTCGCTTTTCAGCAACACCAAACTCAAAATTTCTGTGTCCCATACAAACAGTTTACTGAATGCCTGTGGGCTGCATGCACCGCTGGAACAGCAGTTGCTTATAGGTTAAAAATAACGCTGCACAGAAGCATCCTGGACCAAAAGGCTGTCAGTTGCCCTTGTTATTCCTCCCACTCACAGCACAAAGTGGAACTGGGGATAGAAATGCAGCTCACAAGTATGTCTTGAGCCATCACGCTGTTTCTTTGCTTGCATTCAAAGCTATTGTTAACTTGAGCTTGCAAGTTTTTATACTAAATGAGCTACAGCTACATCGCTAGATTTAAACAATCTACATGATACCAGTATCACTAAACTCATCAGTGGAGGGGGAAAAAAGGCATCAACATGAGTTACACATAGATACGAAGCTATTCTGCAGAAGTTATCCGGTCAAGAACAATGCAGTATGGTCCACAGCATTGTATTAGGTGATTTCCTATGCAGAGTTATTTTTATATCACTTTCCTGTAAGCTCAGAGCTTGAAGCTACTATTAATTCAATGCAGTGGTGAAAATCAAAGAAAATTACTGGTACCAGCTTCTTTTTAATTTAACAAGTCTGGATCACTGATTAGTGTGACGTCACTTCTCTGATAGTGAAAGGTGATTGTAGTTAGAGAACGAAGCAGGAATGTACTTCTGACAATCCATGAACTCAGTTTCAAACAATATTATCAAACACCTTTGCAACCATTATAGTAATTTGCTCACTTTGATATAGATCACACTTAACCTTAAAACACACTCTAAAAAACAGCAAGAATAATTTGTACATTATTCCTGATGCTAAAACCCAAGAAAGGCATGATGATAGCTTGTAAGGATGGATGCATTATTTTATTGTGGCAACAGTTAGGCAGTTCAGGGAGTCTAAGCCAAGTAATATTGGACCACAACAGACTTGTGAGACGGGACGCAGGAGCCTTGTTGGGTAGGGGCAACGTGCCTTTCTTCCTCCTTCTTTTGCATCTACCCCCTAAGGCTGGAGGGAGGGCAGCAGACACGACTCGAGCCTCAC